TGTGGTGGTCCTACCCGTATCCCATGGTTATATGGTTATCATGGTTGTGGTTGACAGGCTGACAAAGTATGCCCACTTTGGAGCATTACCCATGAATTTTTCGGCAACCAAGGTTGCGGACCTGTTTACCACCATGGTGGTAAAGCTCCATGGTTTCCCTAGCACAATTGTGTCGGACCGAGATCCCATTTTTATGAGCAAATTCTGGAGCATACATTTTGAGCTAAGTGGGATGATGTTAAAGCATAGCAGCGCATATCACCCTCAAACCGATGGCCAATCTGAGGTGGAAAACCATGGCTTGGAGCAGTACTTACGCACTTTCGCCCAAGACAAACCAAAGAGCTGGTATGATTATTTGGGGTGGGCGGAATTCAACTATAATACTAGTTACCATAGTAGTATCAAAATGATTCCATTCCAAGCCATGTACGGACGTCTGCCGCCAATAATTCCACCATATGTCCAGAATACCACCCAAGGTCCACGCTTTGGATGAGATGTTGGAGGAACGCGATTCCTTACTTAAACAGTTGAAAATTCATCTCCGCGAGGCACAACACCGCATGGAGCAAAAAGCTAACAAGAAACGCAAGGAACTAAGTCTAGAACCGGGGACCAAGGTATGGGTCAAGTTATTGCCTTACAGACAATCTTCCATGGTGCACAGGTCATCCAACAAGCTGGCCAAAAAATATTATGGGCCATTTACAGTCCTCGAGCGCATTGGCACAGTGGCATACCGCTTGGATTTACCTGCTGATTCTAAAATCCACCCCGTCTTTCATATCTCGGCGTTAAAGCCCTTACGGGGCGAAGAAGTCGATGCTCCACTTGCATTGCCTCAAGACACGGTGGACAATAGACCGGTCTCGGTACCAATGGCAAATTGTGCAACGCGGTAGGTTCTCAAACATGGGAAGGTTGAAACTCAAGTACTTGTATAGTGGAGTGATGGGTCGCCCGACGATGCTACCTAGGAAGCACTTGAGGAAATTAAGTAGCTATATCCGAATCTACACCTTGAGGACAAGGTGGTGCTACAAGGGGAGGAGAATGATACACCAACAATTCCAAAAAATATCAATCAAGATGAGCACAAAGTTAGACGTTCCACCCGAGTAGGGAAAGCGACACATTGGATGGATGATAATTACATCTACAAATAAAGGAAATCTGTCAAGACAGATTTGTGGAGATGATGGACCTCTAATCAAGGAGAACAGATGGAGAGAATTGTGTCACGATGATTTCCTATAATCAAGGAGATTTGCTTCTTATTTGTTAAGTTGTTTTGGTTAATTATTTTGCATGACTCTATATATTGTTCTTTATTGTATTATGGAAGGGGGAGTGAAATAATATCCAAACTTTCTGCCTAATCTTCCTAGTTGCCCTCTCTCATTAGAATTAGAATTCTTACTCCAGGCTTAATCTAGGACTGTCTATTCAGCCTTTCTACTAAAGAGCAAGGTTTAGTTGAATGCTTCATTGTTCAGCGGATTGTGGAACTAATGATAAGGTTTTACGTCAGTATTAAATACATAGGGCCCACATATTTTACAATGGGGCCCATGAATTTATTACTGACATGGAACCTCTTCATTGGTTCCACAGCCCACTGAACAGTTAAAGCGTTCAGCTAATCCCAATTCTCTACTAAAATAGACCTCTCTAGTATTCAAATAGCTACCGACTGTGAACAAGGTCTAGTAGGACATTCATCAGGGCTGAAAACTTCCCCTTTGGCCCCTACACCAAAAGGGAAACCCTAGATATAGATTCTTTGTGAGCAATGATCAGATTTAGGGCTTTTTAATCAGTAACCATAAAAGGAAAAGAAGATAGAAGATGGAGGAAGAGAAAGAATAGGTTGAATCGAATAGAGATCAGATTGTCAATGCTTTGATACCACCATGTTTGCTGAATTGCTGACCTGTAACAAAAGGGAGAGAGAAAGAAAGAAAGAGAATAAAATAGATGGGTGGCAATGTGTTCTCAGCTGGCCCTAAAGTATCTTTTATATTAAGGTTCCTTAATAGCATCCTGGATTTCAAAAAAAATCAGATGCGTGAACGATCTTATCAATTGTTGGGCATCAGAACATACACATACTTCCTCAAAATTCCAGTTTTGTAATTCTTGAAAAACCTGCAAGACAACAAATAATTCAGCTTGGATATCTGAATTAATTTGAGAGGTACGCCCTATGATTTTCAGACAAGTTAAGTTTTGAGAAAATATGATGATGCCAAAAGTATCTAGAGAAAACACAATATAATCTGTATTTTTAGAAAGAAGGAGAATGATGTAAAGATTGATTAATCATTTTTGCAATCGACACAGGTAAGATGTGGTGATTTTGAAAAGATTTTTCATTACGAGCAAACCAAATATAATACCAAGCTATGGCAATTCAACTCAAAATTGCATGAATAGAGTTTGGTCAGGTATTTGATTAAGCAAATTTTGAATGCCTGAAGTCCAAGAATTTTGAAAAATATAGTGCAGTTGAAGATTCCAAGGGTTGGTGAAGAGAACAGCTTGAATAAATTGACAATTAAAAAAAAGGTGGGTTTAAGGATTCTATTTCTGTACAAAATACACAGAGTTTTTCAATGTCTTCTAGGCACAGAATATGTATAAAAGTACAGTTATGCCCATTGATTGATTAAGACACACTTAACACCCACTAAAAAAGGAACTAAGCTAGGCCCAATAGCTCCAGGCCCAACCCAGCAATACAACGAATAACGTTAAGGAAAAAAGCCCATAGGATTAATCGCCCATTACAACAATTGACATTCTGGATCTTGCTTTGCCTCCAACCATTTCCCTGGGAAAAGCCTCAACTCTGTACGTGCAGCCATATGCAGCTTAATGCCGTTACAGGTTTAACCCATCAAAAACAATTATACTTGTACATGTTTTCCTTTCAGGGATATCATCCTCTGTTTTAATACAATAAACATACTTGTTAAAAACAGAAAAGAAAAAGAAGTAATAATGCTTATGAAAGTCATCAGCTGTCTTAGATGTATGTGAATGCATGGTTTAGTATGTATATTTGAAATATTAGTCCTCACCATGAGACATCGCTTAGTTAATGGTTAGAATGATGCAAGTCACCCCCTCCAATTAAGTGTAGGGTGTCAATGGATCGGTTTTGGATTGGACCCCATTTAAATCAAAATCAATTTAGGCAGATTGTACGGACCAATAAGACTAACTGAATTGTATCCGCTCAGACTTAATGGCTCAAAGTATTTATTGGATTGGATTGGACCTGGTCCGTCCGAAATAGATTTATATTAGATTGGGCTGGATTGAACCAATATCTGATCTATTGTAGAAGATAAGAACACAAGTGTCAATGGATCAGGTTTCGGTTGGAACCAGTCTAAATTAAAACCAATTGGGACAGTCCAGACATCGAATTGGATTGGTCAAAATGGTCCAAAGTATTCATCAATTGGATTGGACCTGGTCCATCTATAATGGACTCATATTGGACCAAATCCAATCCAATTAACATTCTCAGGGAGAGGTATGCAAGACATTACATTCAAGCATTTTATATTTTTAACATTAGTGCTCACCGTGCAGGAAATGTTTGAGGAGAAAAGAGGCATTCTACAACCAGCGGGGCTCTGTCCTTCCTTAGCTGTAGGCTGTAGCAGAAGCACACTGCAAGTACTATGGCCTCAGGGGTGGAATCGGTATTTGTTCTTCCCAGAGCGCACCCACCTTACACCAACCTCACGGTACATCCCTCCCTATAGTGGGAACATCTTTCTATAAATAATAATACACAAGTACAAAAGATGTTCTCGATATGTGGTTAGGGTGTGTTGTGAGGTTAGTGGAAAGAGTGCTGCATGAGGAACAGGTCCGGATTCTCAAGGATAAAAGTGTTGTAGCAATAACCATTGGGGCAAGCATGAACTTTTGATGAGATAGGATTAGCTGAATGCAATAGTTTCTTAGCAGGCTGTAAAACCAATTATAACACTCCGCATCGGTCACAAAATACATAGGGCCCACAACCATTCAACCTCTTAGTGTGGGCCCTGTGTGTTTTATATTGGTTCCACAGCTAAAGCGATCAACTGATCCAAATTCTATTGTTTTATTAGAATAGTTTTTATATTTTAAAATGAAGAGAGACATTCATGTCATTGAAATGAAACAAGAATTTAAGGGAACTCGTTTTTCTATATTAGTGAAATGATTCTCTTTATTTTAACTGGTTTCATTTGACTAAAATGGAGATATTTTGGGGTCAATTAAGGTTTAAGAGAAAAGGGCTTGGAAAAGAAAATAAGGAAAGCTTAGGTAGATATTTTGACAATTTAACGGATTATGTCATCTGATTTAACAGATTGGGGTATTTATTGCAAAGTAAAAGTTCAGAAGGGCCTTTTATTGCAAATGAAAGTTAATGGGATATTTGATTATTTGTCACTTGCCCGTATTTGGGGGTATTTGTAATTTATCCAAAAATTAATAGAGGAAAGGGAATTATATTCCACAATCACTGATAACAAAGACCTTGGACGGTGATCCTTGTCTTCTGCATGAGGACTTTTAGTTGACATATTTCAATTCAAACTTCAGAAAGATAAATGCCATTTTGACGGTGTGGGTGATCTGTGAACGTAATTTGTGTATATAATTTTTATTTTGTAGATGGGGTGGCTGACACATGGTTGGAGGGTCTACATTGATTCCACGTTAGAATCTCAGATTAAAAAACCGTTAAAGAATCGGATTCCAAGACCAAGCACCGAGAGGAGGTGAACAGAATAAGGAGGCAAAGCTAGGAGAGATAGAGAACAAGAGTGGTGAAGAAGCAAGAGGCCACTCTCTAAAGGAAGGAAGGAAAGCTGAGACTAATTAAAAGAAAAGCCGAAGAATCTCAAATTCTTCACGTTTTGTATTCAACATTAAATCCCACTGCTTAATTTGTGAAATTCGTCATTTGGCTAAATTGGGTTTCTGATCATTAAAATGAACCAACCCAGATTGCAGACACAATCGTTCAATATGGGGATGGGGGTGAGGCCCATATATCTCAAAGCTGGTATCCCTTTAGCTCTTTCTTTTGCTGGTTTCGTTTATGGGATCCTCAGAAAAAGAAGAAGACTGTTTCCTAGAGTTTCCTCAGAAGAAACTGAAGAGAGTTCGTCTGAAACTGATAATTCCTTGGGGGAGCTTCGACATGGAGAGAACCTTCATAACCTCAACTTGACGCCTTTAGCTTGTAGAGAAGAAGAGGAGCTCGACCCAGATACTGAGGTCATTGAATCAATTGAAAGCTCTGTAATTGGAGATGGGCCTGATTTTGAAGACGAATTTTCACGCCTAAGGAACTGGGTCGTTGCCATTCAGGATAGGGAACGAGAGTTAGAGAAGGAATTTCTCTGTTATTGTAGGTTGAGAGACCAAGAAGTGATTCTGCTGCAGCTCCGGAACATGTTGATGCTGGAGATTGTTCATGTTAAATTCTTGGGTTTGCTGGCTGGGTCGATGGAGGCTGAGAGTCGGAGACTTGAAGCTCTGCTAGTTGAATACCTGAAAGCCATAGAGCAGCTCGGTTCTGCAAGGTTGGAGAATCGGTTGCTTAGAAGGAAGGTAAGGAAGCTTTCGAGAATATGTGGCAGGCGATATCATGCTCTTAGACGGCAGGCTGTGGCTTTGCGAGCTAAAGAGGCTGAGCTTTTGGAAAATCATGAAGCATTGGAACAGAGGGATCACATACTTCAGGGATTAGTGAATGAAAACATGGAGCTAAAGAAAACTGTGGATCAATTGCAGGAAGAGAAGAAAGGACTGATGGAGAAGCTAGAATCAGCAGAAACTTCAGCTTCATCAATCTCCAAGGTTTAATTTTTCTTTTTTTCCTTTTATCTTAAGAAAAAATATAATCAAGCATAAATCATTTGTAGACCTCTGAAAGAGACTGGTCTGCATGGCCTAGACCAAATTGATCCAAGTGAATGGTCCCTGACTATCTGATCTGTTCGTATTGGAATATCAATCCAGAAATGGTAGGTGAAAATATTGTTTTGATCATTCAATTGGATCAAATTTGGCCTAGGAGACACTCCATGGATGATTGGAATAGTCAGTCTCCATCATTGTATGCTATGTATATTTTAGGATTTTTTCCCTGTTGCAGACTGAGGATTTTTTCCCTGTTGCAGACTGATGCAGAAGAGACAGAGAAAGGGGATGCTGATCAATTGTTGACAGAACTGGAACAGCTGAGAAAGGAACATGCTGCAGATACAGAGGAGCTGATTTACTTACAGTGGATCAATGCATGCTTAAGGCACGAGTTATTGAAGATTCAAGAACAACAATGTCCTCGTCATGAAAGGAGCAGGGAGCAGCAGCTGCTGGAATTTGAAGAGAATGAGGAAAAGAGGGATAGTGTCCTAGAGCATGACTCAAACCCTCCATCAACAGTTTCAGAAAACCATCATTCTTGCATGGACATCGAAACTGTCTCACCTAATTGTTCTAAAAAGCATAGGTTGCTTCACAGGCTGAAGAGATGGGTGGAAGGGAGTGAGAAATGCAGAACATCAAGGGATGAGAAGGACAAGCATCAAAGTAGGTGTCTAGGAAGGTTGTCTGTTTCAGATGAAGCAATGGAACCATATCACACTGAAAGGAAGTCATGTTCAAGTGTATAATTGATAAAACTACAAAGGTCTTATTGGGTTTTTATGTTTCATTATTTCTTCATACTTCATTGCCCACAAATCAAGAAGAATGAAATGTTGGGTATGAGCACTAGTCAAGTTTGAACTTCACAGTTGCAAGATAAGAGCCTAGGCCCTATGACTCATACCCATCTGTAAATCCATTCATTGTGATATGTAAGATCAGAAAATAAAGGCAATTTGATGGACATTAAGAAGTAAAATAAGAAATAAAATGATGTAGTCCCCACCTTATATGAAAGAAAATGGAGGTAGGGGGGTTATTTGTTTGGGGTGAGGTAGGAAACAAGATGATGTGTTCCACACTTTAAATGAGGGAGAATTGAGGTAGTAGGAAGATGGTGTAAATTTTGCATCAGTTTTTGGGATGCAAATTTTGTGATGCCTGTGGGTGAAAATGAGGCAAAAGTACAAATTTTATATCAGATAGGAGTGCAAATCATCATCACAAACAAATGGATGCAAAACCGACCCAGGTGCAAAATTTGTGTCTGGTTCCGATTTGCACTGCAAACAATCAGTAACATGAATTTGGATTTATCTTACATGAAGCTGGCAAGAATTATTCTTATTTGCATTTGTTGGTGAAGAATGACTTTTTTTTTTTTTTTTGGATGGTGAAGAATGACTTGTGGAATGTTGTCATCACCAGATTTTCTGCATGAATGAACCTAATAAATTCAACTTCAAAAAAGTGACACAGAATGTTATAGAATAATTATCCTTAGAAGATATTTACCATTTATATCAATAAAAATCAAAGTTCATTAGAGTCTATATGCAAAGGACTACACAGCCATGTAGAAATGACAAGCTTTGGTTTCAGCACATTCAATGGGAGAAAGGCTTAAAATTCTTCTTAGATGGCAATCTGCAGTGATTTGGAAACTCAAAGGATGGAAAGGATATTCTGATGGTCAGATATTTGTAGCCTCTCAAGAAGTTTTACCCAATCTAAAGTCCTCCACTGTGGTAGGAAGACGAATAGGGTAGCTCACCATTTAGCTCGTGCAGCCCTTTCCCCCGATTTTAATCGATTGATGACAAACCATTTCTCTACTTGGTTTGGCCCATTTGAGTTCCTCTGTTTTGAAGATTTGTACCCCCTTTAATTTCCTCTTAATGAAAATTTTCAATCTCTATTACCAAAAAAAAAAAAAGTATCCATAACTCTACATAGGAACAGGGGATAAAAAATGTTAAAAATGGGTTACCACTTAGCAGCATATTCATCACCTTAACATTCCGTAAGAAAGACAATAATAGGAACAATTACATTAGGAAAAAGCCTAAACAGTAGTGATACGTAACGATATTTTGAATCTTGGGTTAGACTGGGCTCGAACTTGGGTCTGAATGTTTTATGTTAATATAAAGACAAAGCCTGGCCCAACCTGACCCATGAACAGGTCTATTTCGAGTAGATAGTGAAAGGGCAATTTCTATGGTACCGGGGATGTATAGGTGGGTACTAGTACTACCAAGAAAACCAGAGAGATGTATAGGTGGGCTCCGGGCTTGAGATTTATTGAGCAGGCGATAGCCCATATTTGGGGCACCGGACTAGCTGAGGACTAAATTGGGCTTATATCCAACATTGGGCCCAGAAAAATCCGGTGCTAACCCAGCCCAACCCTCAGTCAATGACTTGGAAATTTGAGTTCACATCAGCCCCCCACATGAGGGCGCCCCACAACGTCACACAGCACATCTCAACCGTGTATTGGAAACATCTCCCGTTGTAGTGGGGGCTGATGTGAAATCTGGAAATTTGAAAATGTGGATGAAATTGGGGACGTTATCCAGATTCAGAGATTCTGTTTTGTCACTGTGTAATGTTGGAGTGTGGACTGCAGTCGTCTCTCTCCTACAGCCTTGGCAGTTTTCAAATAAAGACTCCCAAGCGGCAAATTTGCTTTCCTCTTTCTTCTTCCTCTTCTGTTCTAAACTTCCAACTGACGTCCATGGAGCTCTCCCTTCTCCCTTACCAACAGCACCACACCTCAACTTTTCTCAGCAGGTCTCTCTATTCCATCCCCGGCATAGGTACGTTCACATAACCACATCCTTCTCCACTTCTATATCTGTTCCTTCTGCTTTCTTGGTTTTCTTTAATCAAACCAGGGGACCTATTTCAATCACAGGAAAGAAACAGTTCCTCCGGAACCCGTCCATGGTGCGTTTCCACTGCTCCTTGTCTGATGAATTGCCAATGCCCAGTACCCCACCTCTTCGGCCTGAAGGAAGGAGGGCTTTGTTGGGTTGTTTTCTTGCAGCTGGTTAGTTTATCTCTTTGATGGGTATTTTTTTCTATGTTCATATGTTTTTCTTCTTTGCTAGATTTCCTTTTTTTTTCATTTTGAATTAACAAAATTCATTTTGATATTAGTTTTATCGCGCAAACATCCGATTAAAGGCCATTTTATTGATATTGCATGTCAAGTAGAAGTCTATAACTTTTTCCTGGTAATTAGCTTAATTGGTATTGCTGAATTAGGGTTTCTTTAATTTCAAAACAATTGGTTTTAGGATTACGTTGTTTCCTATCATGGTGGATTATAGGGATTGAGAAGCTTGGATCCTTATTTATCCTATCTGAGGTCATCTTCCTGTTGATGCTGGTATGAGTGTAAGAATCTGATATGGCTAACAGAAGTTTGGACTTGATGATCAGAGTAGCTAGGATTCAAGGATTCTAACTATGCATCCAAATAATTGATAGAATATTTTTAGTCTCTATGCGTTCCAAATATTGGTTGCAGAATATGGCTTGGTATTATCTTATTTTTGTTGGGTTTATATAGTTGAAATTCTGACTGTTTTCTGTAACTTTGATTGGGATTTAGCTACTGCTGTATATGTTTGTGACAAAGCTGAGGCAGTTAGCACAAGTAGACGAGCCGTAAGAATTGTTTATCTACAAATAAGTTCTTTTACATTACCTTTCAGATACAATTGCTTTTTATTAATTTTGTCTTCCAATACTGCCTTATACTTGTTTTCTTTTGCTTTCTGACCTTTTTTGCAGCTTAGAGGATCGAAGATACCTGAGAGTGAATATACAACCCTTCCAAACGGTCTGAAGTTAGTAAACCATCATGAACTGTCATATTCTCTCAGTTACACAAACAACACATCAATTTAATGAATTGTTTCCTAGTTTGTATGAATTTTGTTGTTCCTTAGATGCACTACAGAGTTTTTTGTTATCTTTATCTCCCTTGTTTTGTAAGTCTGGAAGCATTAGCTTCTTCCTGATGATAATATCCTTCCAATCAGGTACTATGATTTGAAAGTTGGAGGTGGGCCAGAAGCTGTGAAGGGATCACGCGTTGCAGTACGGTTGTGACCCAGTTAAAATTCAACCATGTGATTCATATTGATCTCAAAGAAAGGCATATCAATTTTTAGGATTTAATATCGTATGAAAGGTGCAATATATTTTGGGTGAATTATTTATACAGTTATACCTCCCGTGGGGTTTTGGTCATATACCAAGACCTCCCCTCAGGTTTACCTATTAACTTAGGGGGTGTTCTACAAAGTGAATTGTTTTTCTTGTTGGTGGTTTCAAAAACAAATTAAAACCATCTGTTTTGAAAACAGATTCTTTCTCTAAATTCTGGTTTCAAAAGCATGTTTTCATCTCCTTATTTATTATCACGTTCCATAAATCATAAAATTCTACATTACAATATTTGTTTTTGTTTTAAAAACCATTATTTTGATGGTTCCAAAATACATGTATTATTTTTTTGAAGCAAAACTAACTTGTTTTTTGTCTTTCAAACAAAAACTATGTTGAAGAACATGTTTCCGTTATTTAGTTTCAGGTTAAATTACTTATTCTCCACTAACAAGCCATCAGTTTTAGTGGCAGAAAGTGCTCAACTGGCATGTAAAACCTTTTAAATTTCCATTTTGTCCCTTTTGACACCTTCTTGTAATATCATGTGGACAAAAATGCCATCATTTATATCTTTAGGAGCACATTTTTCTTCCATAATGTTAGGATAGGAATGAAAATTTGAAAACAGGTTTAGGAAAAAATAAAAGAAAGGAAAATTTTGAGTTGGTAAAACTGTATTTAGCGTTTATAAATGAGGGTACTTTTATCAATTTCAAAATATATATTTTGGAAGTAAAACTTATATTTTATTGTTAATGACATTCTGGTAAACAATCTACTTCTGTCTTAACTCTGTCTTTCCATAAACAAACTCCATGTAGCTTGTGGTCAAAGGAGGTATAAGTTATTAGATAAATCTGAGGGGTGATATAAGCATTTGACTAACCTCATAGGAGAGGTGGTATAAGTAATTTACACTTACATTTTTGGGCCTCTACAGGTTGACTTTTTTTATGCATTTTCTGATTGAGTAATTGATAGTGCACAGGTATAGAGTCTGTTGAAACAGACCCATGATGGGCAGATCTGCTGTGAAATAAGGTTTATATTAAATAGGGAGTGGAAAGAAAAAACTGATGGGGTTTTCAAGTCTCTATCATTTAGAAGAAACTGCTGTAATTTAATAAATTAATTGCAGAAATTCTGAGAGAAGTAAAATACTTAGTAGTCTTTTTCCAGAAAGAAGAAAGAAATTGCGCAAGATTATGTTGTAAAAATAACTTCCAACTAAATTAAAAGAATAATGGAAGTATCAATAAAAATGGGGAGAACAATAGAAGAAGAGAAGGAAAAGTTTTACCTCCTAGGGACCTCCAAAAATAAAACTCAACTCAATTCCATATTCCAGCTCTATTATTGAATTATAATATGTGGGCGTATTTATATATTTAAATAAATTGACCGCTCTCTCTTACAAGATTGGATCCACAAGATCTTTGTCTTGTTGATTAGGCAACTGAAAACTTGTATAATGACACTACAGTTAAGTCAAAAACAAGCAAGTTTTGATTTATTAAACTTTTGAAGAGAGATGAAACTATAAATTCAACTTATCTAAATCCTAAAATCACTCTAATCGAACATGAAATTGAGCATGAAATAACCTAAAAGCTATTATGGCTCTATAGACTAATTAAACACTTACAATGATAATTGAACATGAAATAACCTAAAATCTATTAAAATTTACCCAAGTTAAACTCCCACTGGAGGATGATGTAGGAAAAACTTGATTTCTTCTTCCATGGTTTCTTTCCCTTTTCAATGCCTGCATCAGTACTCATCTACATCCATACTTGTTGACCACTCAACCTTATTGTTTCATTCTTGCTCTGAGGAATATGTTTTGACAAATTTTACTTAACCAGTTTAAATGTTTGAACATATAAAGATGCACATCTATGGATCTCCCTGATCTTGTTTTTGTGTAACTAAACATTGATTGGATAAAAGGTAGGAAGGGAAAACAGTATTGGCTATTAATGTGGAGTAACTACTCGGTCTTAAATGACAACCTTGAATAATTTGTTCTGCTGGAATACGATATGTTGTTTCTCAATCATCACAGTTGATCAATGATGTCCATGTTCCATACCTGCAATTGCAATACTACAAATTTGGAGAAGTTGGTGACAAGTTCATTGATCAATGGTGTTGCCTCAATTGGTTAATTTGATTTGCATAAATTGATATTATAACCTTAACAATAGATGGCCAATTTGCATTGGCAGTTAATGGAAACTTCCCTTCTAATGGAAGACTTTGCATAGAAATGCATTTCGCATTTTTACTGTGTTAGACATGACTCATAGTTTCTTCTAATTACATCTCATTTTCTAGTGGTTTCTCCTTTAGAAACTATGTTACATGGGTTTGGATGTGAACTTTAGTGCAGCCATATCTCTATGAGTTGAATTTCCCTGATCCTAGGATCATGGGATACTAGAACCCACCTAAAGTGGTGAGCATGTCAATTGGGTGGGGACTGTGGGGTATATAGAATATAAAATCATGAAGTAGGCAAGAAATCTATATTTTATAATCTCTATTCCATTGCCAATATTAGGAAATATAGCAACAGTGATCTTGCAACATGGAAATTAAGAGCCTAAAATGTAGTTAAAGTGCTAAAAATGTAGTTCATAAGGATAAAAGGACTGACCTAGTTAAGTGAATATATACTACTTTAGAGACAAGGAAAAGAGAAAGAGATGAACAAGCCTAGGTATCCAAACAAATAATGTTAAAAATTCTGCAATGACTACCTACAAACATATTTGTAAATGAAAACATAACTACAATGAATTTTAGCTATTAGGATCTTCATTAATGAATCTTAGCTATTAGGGGTGGGAAGAACTAGTTTCTTTTGGGCTGTATTTGTAATGTGATGTTTTTATAGGGTGGGGTAAGATATTTTACCCCCCTTCTTGTTGTATCTTTTCCATCTCCTTTTATTAATAAAAGTTTCTGTTATTGATAAAAAAAAGGCTCTAAAAAAGAGAAAAGAACACTAATCATCATACTACATATTTATAAACCTACATCAAAGTCAAATATTAACTTCTAATTGCATTATTTATAGAAACATCAATTGAAAATTTATGTTAGGAGTTTTTCCAAATAGGTATCAAGTTCATCAAGGTTCATATCCTGATATCTAAAATAATGGGTATTCATTTGTTGATCCAACAAATATCCTACATCCACTCCCAGTTATTTTTAAAACAAATTTACAGGTAAAGTGAAGCATCCAGCCATCATCACATGCTTATTCTTTTTTCTTCATTTGTCTTATCACATTAACTGTGTTATAGTGGATATAAGTATGTTAACTTCATCCCGTAGGTCCACTATGTTGCCAAGTGGAGAGGCATAACTTTTATGACAAGTAGGCAAGGACTTGGTGTTGGTGGTGGAACGGTAAGTTTGGGTATGGCATTTTTCTTGCATCTCAGGTTCTTCAAGTAGTCAATTGTGCATCTATGACACTAGTTTTCATACATGCTGACATATGATTACTGTTGTCTTCTTTTGGAAGACAGTATCTATATGGCATACAAATATATTCATATTCATCTCTTTTAATTTTATATATAAATATATGATTAGCAGTATGATTAGACAAAATGGAATGGAGGACAGGTTTCGTGATAATTTTTATTCTTTTATTTTTTTTGATAAGCACAAACTAAGCAAGAAAATATATTACATTGCATCATCAATCCAGCTCTACTTAAAACCACCTTCTCATTTGAAACAGGTGCAAGAAACTGAATACAAAAGACCTAGAACTGTCTTGAAAAAACAATGACCCTTTAATATCATTAATAAGAAGATGGACGCCCTCCCCTACTGGGGTGATCATATGGCCCTGGCCTGTCTCTGTAGCTACCTCCCTCATGGTGTGCTGGCCCTCCACTACCATACCGGTTGCTGCCTCCTCTTGGACCAGCAGCTCTATCATAATTCCTGTCTTTTCCATATCCATTCTTTGGATACCTATCTGAATCCCCATAACAGTCACCTGAAAAGCAATCCTCACCAGGTGGGTACCGATCATTGGGATAACGATCACAACCTCCATACCTGTTGCTGTCCTTACTTTCCATACGCTCCCTGTCTCCATAGTGTCCACCATCATAACGATCATCCACGCAGCTATCACCATAACGGTCTCCTCGAAAACGATCACCATAACGGTCTCCTCCAAAGCGATCACCATAACGGTCTTCTCCAAAGAAATCTCCATGGCCACCACTGCTGCCACCACCACCACCACCACTGAACCTAGAACGTGAAGAAAACCTTCCATCACCACCACCACCATCTGCAGAGGGACATTCTCGAGTCCAGTGCCCTGGGTGTCCACACTTGAAACAGTCAGACCGTCCTGCAGACCTATCTCCTCCCCCATGGCTGCACCTGCCACCTGATGAGTAGCCTCTGCTGTAACAATACCCTGGATCATCTCCCCCCATCTTGGGTTGGGCTTTGTTCACTGAGATTACTTTACCACCTAATTTCCTGCCATGCATCTCTCTTATAGCATCTTCCATTCCCCGTTGATCTGCAAATGTCACAAATCCAAACCCACGAGGGCGGCCTCTATCTGGATATTACTGGATATGCAATGTTCTGCAGTCTGACTGCATGCCATGCGAGGATGAATCATTAAACGATTGTTATAATGCAAAGCACTCATGTTTGGTTGATCCATATCTGACTTTGGGAACCAAACCAATACCTGCATACATGCTGTCCTATTGTGAACAAAATTGAAATTGGTGAATATAAGCATAAAATGATTTATTAGTTTTATATGAAAAATAAATTTCTGAGGTGATCTTTACTTTTTAGGCTGATTTACTTGTTCTGGAATTGATGCAGCCTTATGGATTTGATGTGGGTCAATCTGAGAGAGGAAACGTCCTTAAGGGACTTGATCTAGGTGTTGAAGGCATGCGGGTTGGAGGCCAGGTGAGACTGGTTTCTAACATTAATTCTTATCTTTCATGTCCTTTGGTCAACTGTTGTTTAGTTTTATTATGGATTAACCTTTTGCACATGAATGAAACTGAAAAGTTGTTTTTTTTTTCTCTCTTGTTTTTGCTGTTGTGTCTCAATCTTCAAAGTGATGACTCATTCCTAAATAGGTAATTGTGATGAAATGGAAGTTTGTTTAGGAGTCAGATGTCTAGCCTTTCTATTTTATCATATTTAACTGCATTATCCTTGAGAACCTGTATGGTGACCACAATTTTGATAAGATGGCTTTTGTTATACTACTGCTTGACTTCCATTTTATCAGAGAAATATGATCACCAGAGTTTCTATCTACTGAATAGAGCCAACTCCAGCAAGCACAATTGTTTGCTAACTCTATGCATAGTTGTTAGACAAGAGCAAGTACATAAGCATTATCTTTTACTTGACTATTTGTGGTGGGATTAGGTTTCCTAGTCTTGATGATGTGATATGTGTTTCTGCAGAGATTGCTTATAGTTCCTCCAGAACTAGCTTATGGAAGTAAAGGAGTCCAAGAAATTCCTCCAAATGCGACAATTGAGGTAACATGCTAATTTCTAGGGCTGTTCACGGGTCGAGTTGGGTCGGTTTACTGCTGTTTTTCCAACCGACTTGACCTGGTCGGGTTGCCTGAAAATGAAACCGAAACCGACCCTGTGTTAGGCAAAACCGACCTGGTCGGTTTGGGTCGGTTTGAGTGCTTGAGTTGAGGGGCTAAGGGAGTAAGGGCGGACCAAGTTGTTCTGTTAGTTCAACCTCCCTGCTAATCTCATTTAATCGTTTTCTGATTCTTGTTATCATATTATTTTTCTATAAATAGCAAGTTGTTCTGTTACTATAAATAGTAATGATGGGAATTATTATAACGTAGTAATTACAGTAATAAGTAGTTAATAAGTTAACTCAACCCAACTCAATTAAGCATTTTTCCAACTTTAAGGGCCAACTACATGAATATTGTTTCACCATTCTGCTTTGTTCAGTGCCATATCCATTTCTAGTAATTACAATTACCATTTATAGTAAGTCCAAACTTTTCTATAATTTGAAATTATCCTATGGGCTATGCCAAATTGACAATCTTGAATTGCCTGATTTTTAGATGATTTTTGGAGAATTTTCTAGAAACTTTTGATGTCAAGGTACCCTAGAGATTTTGCCCAAAAATCCAAGTTCTCAACCCCAATAAATATTACAGCCTCAAGTTCTCAACCCCAATAAATATTCCAGCCTCAAGTTCTCAACCCCTTTTACAAATGGGTTCCCATGCCATGCAGATAAACTAACTAGACAAGAGATAAATAGAATCATTTGTATTGGACATTGATTCCCCAAGGTGGGGACTTGTAGAAACACATATGACGGGAGGCTAGCGAGGGCTAGGTCATTGTTGGGGGTTGGTTTGGCACAATGTTGTATGTCTCATTCTTTCCCATATATTTTAATAACAAATTTCATCACAATGATTAAAGAAAGCTCTTAACTCCTTGTTCAGCCTAGCTATGGTGATTTAATGATCCATATTCTATATATAGAACTTACTTCTCTGGATGATGGGATTTTGATTGACACAAAATAAAGTTATACACCCCAGGAAACTTTGCCCCTTCCTTTATCTTTCCTTGCATTTCAGAGTCAAAGGTTACTCCTTGCATTCCTTACAGATCAGAGCATTTCTACCTCTAGAACTGATATTGCTGAAAAAAGCAACACTTTTACTTTCTGATTGTTGTTTCTGATAGCTGTTGGTGATTTTTTTGTTATTATTATTTGTTCTCAATCATGAACTTGGGATTCTGCCCTATTTTTGGATCTGCAGTTGGATGTCGAGCTACTAGCCATCAAACAAAGCCCGTTTGGGTATGTAATGGTCATTGAGCAAGATTCTAAACAGCCTTGATTTCTGTAGTATCCTCTGTTCTATATCTGTTTGTTTTAATTTTGCATTTTTTTGTCTTTTTGTGCAGCTCTCCTGTAAAGATTGTTGAAGGATGAGGAATTTATGCTTCTCTTACTGCTTGGTCACCCAGTCAAAGCCCATTTTGACCCTTGCTGTACATCTTGATCAATTAAATCAGAGGCAATAGGGACCAGATATTCATAATCCCTGTTGGATTATGTGGATTGCTGCCCTTGTTCACCTTTCAATGTGGACCCTTGATTTACTTTTTCTTTAGTTTGTATACCTTGGATGATTTATGTCACAAGTAATGTCATATTGAGTAAAGAATTAATAGTAAGTCTTTTTTTTTACCTTTTTGTGGCTCACTGCATTTTTATAAGTTCTGTGAATCTAGTGGAAAGCCTGAGAAACAGAAAGAAATGAAGAGAAAGCCAAAACAGAGAAAGTAAACTCATGCAGTGAGTTTATTAATGAAGATGCATTACTCTCCTTACCTAAACCCTAATTAGTGTTTTTGTATCTATTAACGGAAACATTCTAAAAGTCACTTCTGGGAGAGGGACCTGGTGAATAATAAAGCAAAAACTATAAATTATAAATTAAATAAAGTTTCTAATCATTATCCATTTAGAAGAATTTAGGAAGAAAATGCGCAATATAGGATGAGGTATGGGTATGGGTGGTATAATAAGGGGTAAGGGAGAACCTGTTGGTTAGATCCAAAAGGGTGGCCCATCAAATTGACGGCCTGGATCCAGTAGATAATATCTACCTATACATATTATATTCAATTACTCCATACATATTATCTTTATAATCCCTTTATACTTTGGTTAAATAGAAAAACAGAAGAGTGAAGAAACAGAAGTCTTGGCCTAACTTGTGTTAATAATACACTAGCGGAGGGACCCTGCTTCGCAGGGGCTGGAATGGAACTATCGACCTGTTGATCTGGTCTTTGGCCAAAAATTGTTGAATCATTCAATGATCCATTAATTCAAGACTCGAGCGGTCTAACCGTCGACCCGTTGATTCGTTCAAGGTTTTTGGCCTTTTTTTTTTCATTGGTAACCATCCAAACAACCCGTTCTGTTTTATTCTAATCTCAGTCCCTAGCCAAAAATCATTGAATCGGTCAACAACCCATTGACCCAGGTGGTCGAATTGTTGACCCGTTCAATGGTTTCTTATCGTTTTTTTTTTTAATTTTTGTTGTCAGAACAAGCCATCCGTTCAAACCAAACAGTCCAACCGTCGACCCGAAAACCAGTGGTTAGAACGGTTCCGTCTTCAGGTCGTATGAGTCACACGCTTAAATGACATAACACGTATGGTACTGCTTAATGGACCTCAGACACTCAATTTTTTGCCAGTATTTTTTTTTTGTCAGAACGGGTCGTCGGTTTTTTTATTAATTGGGTACTGTCCAGGCAACCAATTCTGTTTTACCCCAACCCCGACCCTTGGCCAAAAACCGTTGAATTAGTCAACGACCCGTTGACCCGAGTGGTTGAACCGTTTACCCATTGATCCATTCAATGGTTTTTGGCAATTTTTTCATTTTGTTATTTTTTGTTGTCAGAACGGGCCATCCATTCGAATTGGATGATCAAACCGTCAACCCAAAAACGGATGGCCAGAATGGTTCCATTTTCGGGTCGTATGAGTCACACGCTCGAATGACATAACACATATGATACTGTTTAATGGACCTCACACTCAATTTTTTGCCTGTAACTTTTATTGTCAGAATGGGTTGTTCGTTTGAATCAGACGATCGAACCGTCGACCCAAAAACCAGTGGCTAGAATGGTTCTGTAATTTTTTGCTTGTAATTTTTGTTGTCAGAACGGGTCGTCTGTTCGAACCGTCAACCCAAAAACCAATGGCCAGAACGGTTCCATTTTCGRGTCGTGTTAGTCACATGCTCGAATGACATAACACGTATGATACTATTTAATGGACCTCACAAACTCAATTTTTTGCCTATAATTTTTGTTGTCAGGATGGATCGTCCGGTCGAACTGGATCGTCAACCCAAAAACCGGTGGTCAGAATGGATCTGTAATTTTTTTCTTGTAATTTTTGTTGTCAAAATGGGCCATCCGTTCGAACAAGACGGTTGAACCGTCGGTTGTTAGAATGTTATAATTTGGTTTTGACCGTTTTTTAAATTTTTTAATTTTTTTGTCAGAACAGACTGGCCGTTTAAATTAAATGGTCGGACCATTCGAATCGATAACCAGGCCCCTGACCGGTTTGGTCACTGGTTCAGTTTTGAAAAACATGCTGACAATAACATGATTTTTATCACAAGTATGGAATAATTGGAGAAGATGTAAGATTGAATTGATAAAAGAGAAAAAAACAGGGGCAAAGGGATGTTGAAAGAAGAAGAAGAAAGAAAGCAAGAGAGAGAGGGGGGTGAGAAAGTTTTCATTCCAATCACTGCCATAACTGTAGCTAGCAAACATTCCACTCTCTCAATGCTCTTTCCATTTTTTCTTCTTCTCCCCTTTACTCGCTTGATCATGCTTTCAAGATCGAAATTGTAGTTATCTATCATAAGCACCTAAATTACTGGCAAGATGCTGTAGGGGAAACCTTATAATTTTAGTATGGATCAGTTAGTCGAAGAAAACACATTTGTTTTATAACTTTTATTTTAATGTGTTTTGAAGAGAACCTTTAAAGGGAAGCATCTTTTAGTGTTAGCTATGTGGTGGTATATTAAATGCTGGTTAGGTTGTTCGCATGTACAAATCTTTCAACCAAGGTTTAAAATTTTGGTACGATATGCCCCAATATCGGGGGCTTAACAATATGCCCCTACAAGGGTCGTATCAAAGTGTGATCTGGTTCAGGGGGTAGATCAGCCTTAAACCGATCCCTCTGAATCAGTTTCAAAGAAAAAAAAGGTGGGAGAGCTTCGGTACAGGCCAATGCGCCCCTATTAGTGTATCGGCCTGTATCGATACTTTGAACTTTGCTTTCAACCCGTATGATATTGACGTGTCTCACTTTGATAGGTCGTGCAGGGAAATGAATAGGAAGGCATGTATAGGATATTTGGACTCCATTTACCTAGGTAAGTGCATTTACCCATGTTCTTTTATTTCCCAAGCAAATAATGCAATGACCAATTTAGCCATAAAAATCTATCATTAAAATGGACGTTTTTGTCCCATTTAAGTGTTGGCAACTTCTCCTTATGTGGGAAAGTTATTTAACCCATCTAGAAGATGGGCCCAATAAATAATACCCAAGAAAATAAACTTTCTCTAATCCCCACAAATCCAAAAAAAAAAAAAACATGAAATTCTTGATCAATAAAAATTAAGATCACATTGCCCAACATTCCCCTCTCGAAATCGAAATCGAAAGAAAGAACGCCCCCTAAATCATAATACAAAGCTAAGAAAAAAAACCCAGGACTGAAACCTGAGTAATATATTGTATTATTGCTGTCACACCAACTAGCACTGTTTCGGTAGCATCCCCTGAATTAATAATTTACTTGTGTTGCATAAAATATTTGTAGCTCTAAATAATACTGGGGCAGTTAGCTACTAAACAACTCGCCACTACTCTCCCCCTCCCCCAGCTATCTCACAGAAATGCACCCAAGGAACTTTGATCTCTCTTATTCAATTACAGAAATTGTTCAGAAATAACTCTTGACGTTGTATTACGATCAGCTAATTTTGGTGGAGTTGTTAACTATACGTCTGCTGTTCAACTGATCTATCAATTGCCAAGAGAGACCAAAATTTCCCCTCCATTGATTTGATATATTGTTTGAAAGACAAATAAAATTGAAGAAAGTAAATTCAGGTTCTAAAGTCTTTTGTATAATAATACAAAATTTATTAAAAAAAGAAGAGAGTACAATAGGGACCAGCCCAACAAAAAAAGAAAACACCTAAACATAGGAACATCATCCAATCAGTCTCATAGAAAAACAACCAGATCATCAACCAAGCCAAAATCGGCTCATAATTAAAGAAATAATATTAACAGCATTTAGAAATTTCCAAGTGCATGGGCCTGGTATTGCCGTTAGCATATATACATATCTCAGTTTTGGAGGTTTAGATAAATCTATTAAAATTTTTTAAGCTATCTACAAAATATAATTTCTGGTTTCATATATAATTTTAGGGATTTAATTATAGATTTCTGGTTTCATATACAAAATATAGTTCAGTTAAAGCGGAAAGACTTAAATCATTAAATGACATCCCATCTGAATCCCATAAAAGAAGAACTCTAATCAGAGATTTCTTGTGGATGATTTGCTTGCAATTGGGGTATTCATGGATCTTAGGCTCAGGGGTGTATAAAAAAACCATAATAGAACCAAACCCTTTTCACCCTATATCTCTCCAAACCTTACCTCCTTCACTACCCATCTCTTTTTCTTTTTTTAGCAGAAAAGTCTATTACATTGAGAATTAAGTAGCATTTGCGGGATTTGGGAGTTGTCACAAAGGCTATAACCAAAATTAGACATGGCAGTTCTCTTATCCTTTGTATCATGGGAAAATCTGTGATGCAGAAAAGATATGGTATGGAAAGAGTTTTGATCAATCAAAACCCATCCATGAATTTTGATAAATAATACTTGATTGGTCAAAAGTTTTTCAGATATCATATCTTTTCCAAGTCGAACCTATGTATCATATATGTATTTTTTATTTTTGTAACAATATCTGTGTTGTTTATATTGCGAATCTCTATGATGTAATTGATTTTATATAACTTTTTCATTGTAAAAAAATCTATATAACTCGGCTCTCAGAAGAAAATTCTTCACTCTGCCACTACTCAAGGTGACCAAATACCCCTTCCTACATTGGCACTTTTCAGCATAACCGGGTGAGTAGTGTTTCATTTATAATAAGATTCATCTTTTTAGTGTTTATGTCATGTTTATATAAAACGACCCAGAAATGGAACCATTCTGGCCACAGGTTTTCGGACCGATGGTTCAATCGTCTGGTTCGAATGAACGGCATATTCTGATAATAAAAATTAAAAAAATAATTAATTAATTAAAAATAAAAAGTGGCCAAAAAATGTTAAATAAATCAACGGTTTGACTGCCTAAGGTTTTTGGCTAGGGACAGAGTTTAGAGTAAAACGGAACCGATTGCTTAGACAGTTCTCGAACCAAATGGTCTAATCATCCTGGCCAACGACAATTGGAAAACTGGTTTATGCAACTAATGAATATCAATCAAGATTTGAAGCTTTTCAAATCTTTGGTACCATGTCTTCCCATATAAAACTCCAAAAACATACTAAATACTACATCAATAATAACTTTTTTTGGGTGGATCAATAAATTAA